GTCCATGGTGAACGCAGAGCAATACAGCAAATCCTACCGAACGAAGACTGGGGAGGTTCTCCAACTCCCATTTTGATTGCATGGCACTCGGATGTCAGGCAGGATCTCTCTCCATTCACTTGGGGCTCGCAATACTTGCAGGAAAATCTGCCATGCACCACTGGGGCTACACCGTCTGCTAACATCTGGGTCAGATGTAACTGGTGGGTTGTACGTCACAGATCATCGAAGCATGTGCCGCGTTGCTTCTACCTGCATGGCGCCAACAACCACTCGACGGCCACCGCCGTTGTTCTTCGCGCTGCTACTACGGGGAGGCTCACCACCACCACCACCAACGTTGTGTGGATCAACCGCCGGGCAGGCGCGCCGGTGCCGGTGCCGGGCATCGGGGGGGGGGGGGGGATTCGGTCACCGCGGCGCCCCCTCGCCGGCCGCCGCTGTACCTACGGGCGCTGCCGCACCCGCCACCCCCACCGCCATCGCGGAAGTGCGTCTACACCCCGCCCGCAACAGCGACCACCGACGCTGCGCCGCCGCCCGTTTCCCCGCCGAACCTGACTACAACTAGCACCAACGGCGGTCGTGTGGACTTCGAACCAAAAGAAACAGGCAAAGTTGTTCCTCCCCGCGTACCCAAGGTAGATCAGTCCAAACAGCGGTGCATCACAACGGCCGCCGGCCGATCTCATTTCACTAGAGTCATGCAGCTTGTACAGCGTTGATGCGTGCTACCTCCGCCGCGGTGAAAACAACATACCCATCCCCTGACAAAAGAAAGCGCAACCGCACCACCACGCACCATGCACAAATCGTTCATGGGTACATGTGGAACAAAAAAAAACAGCCGAGAACGTTTCCGGACACATGGCCAACGGGAGCCGACCACGGCCCTCCCTAAAGAAAAGCGCTGCTGATAGCAACGAAACAAACAAAACAGGTCCCTCGTCAGAGAGTGAGAAAGTGTGCAAGGTGTGCGCCCCCCACGCAATCCACGTGTCGACACGTCTGAGGGAGACAACACGACCACATAAATGTGCCTCACAAGCGGACCTGCTATGGAACAACACACACACCGACAGCCGCACCCAACCACCAGCCCAGTTTGCATGTCGAACGGCCGGTGTGTACATAACCGCAGCAGTAGCGCGGATAAATTCTCCGCGTGCCAGCCAGCCACTGCTGCTGCTGCTGCTGCTGTACCTTTACATACGTATGTACGGGCGGCGAACAAGCTCAAATCTGATTTTGTTGTCGCGAGTCCGTCGCGTAACTGCCGTGACTGGCGAAGACGAGCGTCGGGGTAAGGTGTAATCGGTATACCGTCTTTGCTTGGCTCCCGCTTCTGAGTGCTGCTACCGGCACCGCCGTGGTCACGTCTCAGTTCGAAAACAACAAGACAAAACAGGTGTCTTGCGTCGCTGTATCGCTGCAAACCGCGTGTGATCACATGCTACAACAACCGATGATACATGCTTCGGAGAATGTCGCTTTTGCAAGGTCGCGAGTCCCCTCCCAAAAAACTATCGATGAATGGACTGCAGGGAAGGGTCGAAGCACACAGAGAGAGACGCTGTTCTTCGCCAAGAGTCAATAAAGGACGCTGCACGCCCGCTAAAATAACGCTGGTCAATTGTGCCGGTTCATTTATGGTTTTGAGGCCCGCTTGTTCCTGCGTTGAACAACGTCTATTTCACCCAGCAGGGACACCAAAATACCATCACATGAACGTGGGGATGGAGGGAGGGTATCAACCTGACCACGTTCTGAGAGAAAACCGTTCGTATGCATATGTATCTAAATAGGAAGGCCCCGTGCACGAACAAATACGTACGTACGGCGGTGACTTACCCGTCATCGCGAAGTATATGTCTACAGCGAGTGGTATACCTGCATATACAGCAGTACTGCTGTATCCCTGCAGGCATCTACAGCAGCATACTATACCAGATAGACACTAAGAGCGTCAAATATGGCGCATAACCGCTGAACGATTTCCTTGCCCCTTTTGAGACGGGGAGGACAATTTTTGAGAAAAAACGAAGTTTTTGTGGTGGTTACTGGTGAAACACCGCCGCGGCGTAGGGGGGGAAGGGGCACACCAGCTAATCGGATCTTGAGACGAGATGCCAAGAAAAAAACGAACAAAAAAACGCAGCCAGCCCTGGTGGAGCGCGAAACAGAAAGGCACGCGTCGGGTTCCAATGTGTGTATGTTGTGTACTCCGTTGTCTTCGCGGCTGTTGCTGGCTGCATCGTCAGTAGGATTTCGGTGATCTTTACAGCAGCAGCACTGGATTTTAAGGTACGCACAGGCGAGGTCGGTCGGCATACATCCACACAGACAGCGAGAGGAAACCTAGGCTGGGTAAATAAACTTCTAAGATGAATAGAGGAGAAAAAATGAAATGCGGCCTACATTTTGAGCGGCGTGACATTATCAACAGGGAAAATACTTCGCTTTCTCTGTGTCTCTCTCATGTCGATGGGCGCGAAACTAGATACCTCGCGGCCGCTGCTGGTGCCGGGTTAGCTCCTCGTTCTGTCCGCATCATGGCGTGCCCGTCGTACTCTCTCGGACACGCTCCCCCCCCCCCGCGGTGTGGCTTCCTGCGAACAAAAGGGGGCTGGCACAAAAAAATCACAAAATACAACAGGGGAGAGGAAAAGAGAGAGGGAGAGCGAGCACACAGCACATCCAAAAAATGTGGTTTACCGGTGACGTCAATGATTGGGAGTGTATGTCGCACCTGGCAAAGGTAGTAGTAGTAGTAGCAGCAGTAAAGCCGGTCAGGCAGGTAGAGGTGTATATGCTGCTACGTGTCGTGTGAGAGATCGGCGAGAAAAACAGAAGAAAAAAAATGTGGATCACACGACGCAACGCGGTCAGTGGGTGTCAAGTCCGCACGGTTCAACTCTCTCTGGCGCCAGAGACCCAAAAGACACGTGCAGAGGCTGGCTGGCTGGCTGCTTGCTGCTTGACGCTGCTGCTCTCCACGACCAGGGATTGGCTAGGCTCTGGTCCACGAGGATCGTACGGTGGCGGGGCCGCCAGCATGATATCACACAACCGCTAGTTCGGTGTGTGCTGCTGGTGTGTCTCGGGGATCAGTGGAGAAAGTAGTGCTGCTGCTGAGGCTGCTGCTGCTGCTGCTGCTGCTGCTGCTGTGTCTTTCGTGGGTTGGGTTCATCTCCGATACCCCGTGGGCAGGCGAAGGGCGAGCTTCCCAAGTGCACACAAACACTTGATGAAGAGAGACTCCTCATGCAGCGAGTTGGTCTCATGTCCAGCTCAACACGGCCAACCTCCTGTTCCGGCAGTGCCAGCTAGCTACGGCATCGGCCCATCATCGTGGATGTGAAAAATGGCATGAGTGAAGTATTCAACAAGAGTCGGAAGACGACGGACAATCCGGACCAAAAAACCGGAGCTATTTTTTGGTGGCCGCACCTGTCTGCTGCTGCCTCTTCGCGCGGCAGAGCGAGACCGGACTCACCTCGTGGATCACGCTGACATAAAAACCCTGGGCTCGGTGTGTCCGTGTCCTCCCCTCCCCTCTTGTCCCAGTACTCCGCTTTGGGTGTTCGTGCGTGCCTTCGAGCTCAGGATGGGCTGCCTCACCCATCCCATGTCTTCGAATTTGTGACCCCCCACTCTGACTGGCTTCGATTTCGCGTATCCCCCTGAATAATGTGAGTCACGTCACCTCGGTGTTTGCAGCAGACACCACGAGACAAATACGCATCATATTTCGTCAGCAAATAAAAAGGAGTAAACTGCCGCCTGTCGCGTTAGTACGAGCCTTCGAAGTCCCCGAGCTAGGAAACAGATATAACAGAACATACATGTAGGGACCGGCCAACCTTGATTAATTATCTAGATGATGGAGCGGCTGCTTGTTTGTGCCCGCAACAGAAAGAATCCCCGACTTCATCAACCCGACGTGGTACAAGTAATAACAGCGAGTAGACGTAGATACGCCAACGAAACCGTTCGTTGGAGAGAAAAAAAACACGAACGATGTAAATAGAGTACGTACACGGAGCATGATGCGGCCATGATATATGCATACGACAAAAATAACATGTAACAGGTACAGAGGTACCGGTCAGCGCTCCACACTTTCGAGAGCAGCGAGGTTATGTCTAATAATGGAAAACGAAGTAATGAAAGAACACAGATAGATTCTTCTTGCTGTTGCTGTCGACATGACACCCGAAACTAAACGGATGGCCGGTCGGGTGCTACCGTGGCCACTGCTGCTTCAACAGCAGTCGCTGTGGAGATGATGTGGAGATGCAATATAATCTTTTCCTAGATAGAGATGGATTCGTTGGGTCATATTTAGAAAAAATATATATATAGCTTGATATGCGCGAGCGCGTTGCTCTACGTCATTGAAACTTAGTTTTTCCTGTTTTGGTGCAGGAGAACTTGAAAGTGCAGCCAGCGTCAAAAGCACCAACATACGATGATGATGCTCTGGAAAACATCAAGATCTTGTTGTAGTACTACTCCTGTGTATGCACACGTCGTCCCCACCAATTATACCATTCACCCTTCGAGAAAGCCGCTACTTTTGGGCGGGTTGGAGAAGGAGTGGTGGTGGCATAGAAGACGTTTTTTTTTCCCACCACCTTCAAGTTTAAAAACAACAACCCGACATCAACCACGGATACACGACGAGTCAAGTGTAAACAAACCCATCTTGTCTCATGTCCATGCCGGCCACAGCAGAACAGAACGGGCGAGCTACAACTAATAGTCTACGAACTTACTTCAAGTTCTACGCTTCAGGTTTGACCACATCGACCACACAAACCCATGAAATCACACACGCGCAAGCCAATTCCCAACGCTGGAGGCTATCTAGACGAATAGCCAGCACCCCGGAGGACATCATCCATCGCCACGTCTAACCAACCTCTAGACTATTCCACCTACCCACCCAGGACACCCGCGGGCACGCCAATTGATTGTCACATCACACTTACACTTCACTCATGCATCTCCTGTATTGTACATATTTTGTTTCATATTCACAGCAACAAGCTTAATATTACGAACGGAGTCATCCCTGGCGTCGGGCTGCACAGCATGTTTCCCTCAACAACACCAATCTGAACGACCTACAGCAGTAGCGCTAACCACGCCTGCACGCAACCGGCGGCACGGCCGGGCGGCAAGAGCCGCGCAGCATCTAAATAGTAACGCCGCAACGCCAATCTATCCAACAGGGTCGACATCCATCACGACGCCACCACCACCACCGCGGTTCAAGGCACCCTTGTCACTGCCCCTGGCTACCGTACCTCCCTTCCCCACCGCCGCCTCCTCCGCCGCCGCCTTTTCGGCCTTGGCGATGTCCAACAGAGCGGCGTCGGTGGCACAGCGGATGGCGCACTGGTAGGTATCCCTGTCCGGCGTCACCCCCGCGGCGCGCATATCTTCGAGGAACCCGGAGACGTGGCCATCCGCCCAACCCTCCGCCCCCGACCACCTCCCGCCCGCCGCCTCCAGATCTACGAATTCTTCGTCGATTCTACTGCCGCCTCCTCCTGCCGGTGTGACCTCCCCACCCAGCGGGGGAGCAGTAGGAGCGCCCAAGGTCGTTCGGCGGTCGCGTGCAGGCGCGTTGCGCAGCGTCCTGAGCACGGAGTTGTATCTCGACACACCGGGGAGGAGTGACCCCCCGGGCGGGGATGCTTCCCTCAGGTCTTCTAGGAGGCTGCGACTCTCCTGGGAGTTGGGGAATAGGAGGTGGGACGGGAAATCTTGGTTTGAAAAAGAGTCACAATTATCCGAGGAAAAAACACCATTACAGCAGCAGCACGAGAGTTAGTTCTCTTGGAGTGTATGGCTGTTGTCTATGGTATTCTACAGGCAATGATGGACATCTTGGACAGGCTGGCCATCGGGGCGCGCAGAGGCGGGACAAATGGAGAGGTGACACCACACTTGCCAAGCTGGGGGAGAAGGATTGCGGGATCGAGCTGTTCCGGCAATCTACTTCCCCAACCACAAAGAGGCAAGAGAGGGCACCACGGCCACTTGGAAAAACACCCCGCTCTAAAACACATACATTGGGGGTCCCCGGTAAAGGCGGTTCTGAATACGGCGGTCGCCCTAGACATAAGGCCGGTGGAACTGACTGGCATAGACGGAATAATCAAAGCTGTTCTACACATTGAATGAGGCGGCTGCCCCTTGTTAGGCGGTCGTCATCAGCTGCCCCCACCACCGCCTCGATCGGGGACCCCCACCGTACGAACACGTGACCATGGAACAACAGGCCCAACAACGACGACACCACAACCCGCCACCTCACTCGTTCCACATCTCCTACCACAAACGCCCACACGACACGGGGGCCTCTCACCTCCCAGCGCCCGGCCCTCGCGCACTCCGTCAGCGCCAGGTTGATGCACGGCGGGTCGGGACCCAGCCCCTCCCCGTCCACATCCTCAAGGAGCACCAGCAACGCCCGCCAGGGGGACCGCGCCTGCTGAGGAGCCCGGGAAGGCGGCAAACGCTCCTGGCCGCCGGAAAAACCCGGCCGCGAAGAAATTTCCGGATCCTGGCGTGTTCCCGCCTTTGTGGCGGCGGCGGCGGCGGCGGGGGCAGGGGGGGGCGTAGGTGGTTGCGCCTGCAGGCGGCCCAATACCGCGCACTTGAAGGTCCAGACGTCGGGTCTCAGTCCCCGGGACAGCATGTCGTGGAAGAAGAGCCTGGCGAGGCCGCTCTGGCCGCCACGCCGGCACGCCGCGATGCAGGAGTTGTACGAGCGGACGTCCGGCGAGGGGGGCGAGAACAACGACGACAGCGCCGCCACCCGAAATTCCACGCCGTCGGGAGAGCCGCCCTTAGCAGTAGCGGTCGTAGGAGAGTGATTCGAGGCGAGTGGTTCTTGTCGTTCCTCTGCCGATGCCGGAGGGGACGATGGCGGCGTGTCGGGTCGTTCCTCGTCCAGCAGGAGGAGAATCTCCGCAAGGTCGTGGTCGTCGTCTTCTTGGGCGTCGTTACCTCTCATGGCGTCGATAAGATCGGCTGCTTCTTCCCATCTTTCGATGCAAGAAAAAACATGCAAACGCACACACACACGGTGGGGGGGTCCCAGATCATGGTCTTTAGAAACATTTTGTGTTTTCCACCGCACTGAGACTGACGTCTTTTCATTGGTCAGCCGGATAGCGCGGTCGATGCTAAGAAGAAAACACACGCACAACAAGCACAATGGAGAAATCGAGTTGGGAAGGCCGTCTGTTCTCACCAACAACATGCCGCGTAACATGCTTTCCCCCGGAGGCACCACCATTATGGCCAACACGGCCTTCGAAACACAGCAAGCAGTCTACGCGAAAACGATGTCTACGACACCGTCGGTGTCCAGGAGTAATCAACCTTGAAACACGCAGACGAACGAACGTCCGAAACGCGGCATGCAGGAAGACTGACGACAGCTACAGCAGTACGCTTGATGTTCCTGCCGGGCAATGTAGTCGTCCACGAGGCCCTCCGTCGAGGGGGCGTAACACAACCATGGTTGCCGTATCATTCATATCATCGATCGGGATGCAACAAACGGAGCGTTCGCCAAGCAAGGGTCCGCACCGGACCGCACTGTTGTGCCTGCTTGCTGTCCCCTCTCTCTCGCTTGCTGCTGCTGCTGCTGCCACCGCACACACCTACCTGCGCGTTGTTGTGCTTCTCCCGTGCAATGCTTCTTTCGTTCCACGGAAGGGAGAACACACAACACACAGGGGGGTGGGTTGGCAGCAAAACCGCTGACTAGTCCAATGGTTTGATTTCGACTTCCTAAGTAGTTCGCAAGGTCCGAACCGCCCTGCCTACCCGCCAGCTGTCCCCTTTCGCTGCTGCCACCGCACACCCCTGTGTGTGTGTTTTGTGTGTTTGTGTTCCCTCCCGTGCAACGCTTCTTTCGTTCCTTCCCCCAATCCCTCGACGGCAAGACCGCTACGCGCTACACGTCGACCTGCCCAAATAGGGTCAAGTCGACGCGTGGCGCTTGGTCTTTTCGCCACAGACGTCTTGGGGGAAGGAAAAAAAGAAGCGACGACTTGAAATGATACACAGAACAACTCCTCTTTGCCGTACACCCGTACCTCCGCCCTCTCTTTGGCTTGGCGGCGGCAAACACACACCTTCCCTCGCGCCCGCAGCCGTCCAGGGCTGCGTTGTAGCTCGCCAGGGACGGCCGGAGCCCGGCCGTCCGCATCTCAGACAAGAGATCGAGCCCCCTCTGCCACAGCCCCCCCCTCGCGCAGGCGTCGATGGCCGCGGTATACGTGACCTAACAAAAAAAACGCAGGGTTTGGAGAATTTCACCACGAACCACAAAGGGGAGGGGGGAGAGCGTCGAGAGTGGTTGTTGTTTCAAAGCAACCCCATCACTACTCCACCAATCTCAGCAACTCTCGAGTATAGATGCGCCACCAACCCTCGTTGTTCGAGGCAACCCCACCAATATCAGCAGCTCTCCGAGTCTGCTCGAGCGACCGAAAACCCTCGAAACCATTCAAGCTACGGAGCCCCCAAAAGGTCGCTGCGCGGCGGCTCTGACCTCATCCCGGCGAACTCCCCGCTCCCCCATCTCGAGGAAAAACGCCAACGCCTCCTCTGTGAACAAACCCCGAGCGCAGGCCGTGATGACCGCGTTGTAGATCGCCGTGCCAGGGGCAAACCCTTTGGCGTTATCGCCAGCAGCGCCGGCGGCGGCGGGCGGAGACGCCCCCCCTATGCCATCGGTGGCGCGCTGAAAGCGGCGGAATAGGTCCAGCGCGCGTCCCCACTGGTTCGCCGCCGAGCACGCGATGATGGCGGCCTTGTAGCAGTACTCGTCGGGCTGCTAATACGAACAAAACATAAAAAAAAAGCGGAGAAAGGAAACGCAAAGGCGAAACTCATGATGCCGAAAGTAGACGGGGAACACCTGTTCTTGACCCGACTCCACCTGCTTGTCGTGCTTGACAGCAAGACTCTTGATCGCAAACCTCGCTCTGTCCAGTTCGTTGTCACCTAAGGTCGCAAGGCGCGACACACCAACCAGTCAACAAGCGTTTACTTCTCTAGACTACCCAATAAGTTTTATGTCCTCTAGACGTCGAGGCTGCGTTTCAAATGATGGGGCCGAAAGCGACCAAGCATCCACGATCATCGTTACCGCCCGACTTTGCGTGTCCCGTAAGCGCACCTCGATATCCTCTGTCGACCACTCCAGGAGGATCATGCACTCCTTGTAGCGACCACTCCTTCCAACTGCGTTCATGGCGCACCTAGAGGGCGGGTTCGTGTACAGAGCAACAACAATTGGGTTCGGAGGGGTGGGGGGCAAGAAGGTGGGTATACTACAAGACTGAACACAGGATTTGATTTTTTTTCTATGTGGTAAGGTTGAGGTTCGCTGGGCTGGTGGAGAAGAAAACACGTCTGCCGCGTGAGCTTGGGAGCCCTCACACAGCAGCAGCTGGCAGTCAGCTTGTTATTTCCATCTCGCATCACCCCTTGATGACGCCGTGCTGTCATGAGCCCACCCCGCAGGGATTACTTTTTCCAGTTTAGCTATCTGACTGTTTCGGTCAACGGGAGCCAACATAAGTACCGTATCTCGCAGACGTAGAAGCGCACTCAACCAAACTGCCGATAAACAGAACTCTTGCTACGCTACGCTACGCTACGCTACGCTACGCTACGCCACGGAAGGAAGGAAGGAAGGAAGGAAGGAAGGAAGGAAGGAAGGAAGCGTGCACCTACCCGTAGATGATCGAGTTCAGCTCCGTGCCTTGGTGGCGTGCCCGTGCGACCACTTCCAGCACGTCGCCCCATCGGCCCCTCCGCCCCAGTGCCTGCCGTGTTTTGGGGTCGGAAGGTGCGGGGGCATCACTGCCGTGGTTAGTTCAGGGTTTCCTAGCAAGGGAGCGCCGGGTCCTTGGCCCTTGCGAGGGAAGTACGCTAGGCATCGATCTACCGAACCACAAGGCAAGATCATATCGTAGCTGATAAAAACGGCCGGCGCGCTCACGCACACTCATGTCATGTATGACTTGGCCTGACGCGAAAAGGTGGAGAAGCTTCGAATGAAAGCCGCACGCTACGATTCGACGAAAGAGGTCTCCGACGTCTGAGCCGAACCTATTCCACCCCTATCAGCATTCGCACGAATATCGAACATGATCTTCGGACCCGACTGGTCCAACGCGCGGGGTGGAGCACTTGCTCAAAACACCTCCCGACACCCCTCTACGCACGTGCCTGGACACGGCAGTACCGCGCATTGTATTCTGCTACCTATCTTTCTCTGCAGCCACAACCCTCACGTCCGCTTCACACCTTGATCTCGCGGACAAGAGTCCGCTGCTCCCGCTCCACCGCCGCAGGAACGCCTCCGCCGGGCTCGTTGTTCCAACTCCCGGACCCCAAGCCCTGCATGCCCAGGAGCTCCTCGATGGACGCCTGGATTTCCTCCAAGGAATTTTCGTCCTCGCCCCCCCTGCTGCTGCCCCCCCCGGCGCGGCCGCGGCGGCGCCCCGAGGAGCCATCGACCGGCGACGACGCTCCGCCCATCCCGAAGGCCCGCTGCAAGGGGGGCACGGGAATGCGTGGCCGCTTCTTGCCCTTGGTGTTCGGTGGCGGCCGCCGTTGCGGCGGCGGCGGAGGAGGCGGGGGGGGCGCGAATGATTCGGCGAGGCCACTAATATTTTTGTCCGCGTTCTCACGGGAGGAATGTAGCCTCGAGGGGTAACGCCTCCGTGACGTTGCTGTCGACGGAGATTCTTCGTCGCCGTTTGTCGGACGTCCTCCCTGTGGCGCTTGCCGGGGCGGCGGCGGCGGCGGCGGCTGCTTGGAGGCCAGGAGGGCCAGCGAGGAGAAGGAAGCGGCGGGTCCGTGCTGCGGGGCGTCTCCGCCTTCTGGCGGCGACGTTGTTGTCTTCGTAGTCCATGACGGACGTCGTCTTCGCCTCACGTTGGGTTGTCTGTGTGGCGGCAAAGGGGGGGGGTGGTGGTAAAGTCGAGCTTGCGGGACCTATTGAATGTTGAAGAACAATTGCCGCCGTAGACGAGGGCGATAAGCCTGGTCTCTTACAAGAGTTTGAACGTTTGAACTCCTTTGTGAGTCAACCAACACCAGCTGGCGTGGACGTGGATGTGGATACTCGTTTCAGAGATAAACGCTGGTGTATCGACGCTAGGAAAAGGAGCCCAAGAAACCGATCGCAATCACGCAGCCACAACCGTGTACTTGTCATATAGGAAAACCTCCGGCGACAACTGCTGTGCGCGACGGCTGTGACTGCTGTATTGCAGTGACGCCGTCTGCAAGTTCACCTCACCTGCTTGCCGGGAGGACCGCCGGAAAGGACGGCTGGACCACGAAGGCCATGGCATTGACATTGACATTGCAACACGAGGTCGGAAGGTTCATGTCCACGTTGTTTAGTGCGGCATGTGTAGAGCGGTGCTGCTGTCTCGTTCGCACGTTGTGCCTCTCTCTGGAGAGTTTGCTGCGCAATGGTTGGGGCACAGCAAATGGTAGTGCAAAATATTTCCCGGGTAACAGCTTTCCTGGCTGTCGATCCCCAAAGGCTTTGCGACGCACCAGCACACACCGGACGCGCACAGGAAGAGCGAGGGAGACTGGGAACCAACACCGACGGAAGCTATCAAAAGGTGTGGGTCATGTGTGAGGTGTTGAGAGTGTTCGAAGTACCATGATGTATTTGAGATGAGGTTCCGATCGATACTTATTGTGCGGGAAACTGACCATGCCGCACGAGCCAGGAAGCAACCAGGACATGCCGGTGGCAGCGATATGAACTGGAAAGAAGCTACGGGAAGCAACGCAACCGAGCAAACCCAGATCTAATAACCAGTGCCGAGCCGTGTTTCTGCGGAGGAGACAATTGCGTGTTACTTTTAATGCAAAAAACGTGGATGTTCCTTTGATTCTGCCGCCCGTTCGCGCCACGAGCGAACAGGGTGCCTGGTACGGTAGTAGCCTTCATCAGGGCCTGCAAACGGCAACCAACGTACACAGAACACAGGGCGCTAAATATGGATGACGAGCGAATCCGCATTGCCCTAAAATGAAGGTTGCAACTGAAGAGATTTTGGAACCGGAGCTTGACTTGTCAGTACATGTAGAAGGAAAAGGAGACTTACAATTGAAGGAGAGTTCCTGGGACCAGTCCTGGATGTCAACAGTCTCAGATTTTGTCGGACTTGAAAGCGATTTGCTGTTTGTTCGGGATGTTCGCCAACATCGTTCCTGGTAGGCAGAAGCTACGAACCTGCAGCTAAAGGCGTCTGTGTCAGTGTTCATGGCAGGCCTGTGCACCGGTGAAGTGAACCTAATAAAGCGGTCGTGACAGATTTTATTTGGTAGGGCAGCAGTTTACCGGTGCCGCACCCGAAAATTGCTTACAGTTGTAAGTACAACCGGTTACACCAACTACATCATTGCTGCTCCCGGTCCAGTGCAGCAAGAAAAGAATGCTGCCGAGGTCTTGAATGACTATACATGATGCCTGTGGTAGGGCTTGGAATCCTCATCAAGACCTTTTGGTGTTTTTGTCATAGGTGCGGACGGACGCAGCAGTCGGCGCGTTTGGAACGCCGCGCGGCGGGCGGGCGCGAGAGGCTCACCGCAACAACAACCGGGGCAGAGACATCAACTATGTCGAGGACCGACGAGGGGCAAGAGGACTCCGAACGGAGGTCCTCTTCCCACAAAAGCAGCCACAAGAGCTCACGCTCCTCCAAGCACTCCTCATCGAGAGACAAGGGCGAGTCCTCTTCTCGCAAGCGGGACAGGAGCGAGCAGGACCGCTCCAGCGGCAGCAACTCCAAGGAACGCAGCAAGGACCGCTCTTCGAGGGACAGTGGCGGGGACGACGGCGAGCAGCGCGGCGGTAAGCGGCATCGACGGGGGGAGGACGAGAAAGACGGGGGCGGCGGAGGCGGCAGCAGCAGTCGCTCCAAGTCTTCGTCGTCGTCTTCTCACCACAAGTCCAAGCACCGGGATAAGGACGGAAAGAGCAGCAGCAGCAGCAGCAAACACAAGAAGGAGAGCCGCAGCAGCAAGGACAAGGACCGGCGAAAGCACAGCAGCAAGACCAGCAAGGGTGAGGAAGGAAGAACCAGCAACGGAGGAGGAGGAGGAGGAGGAGGAGGAGCTGCTGCCGGCGACGACAAGCCGAACGGCACACGCAACGGGGATTCGGGCGCGGCAACGCACGGGCACACCCCTTTCCCGGTCGAACTCATGGCCGACGGGGAGGAAGAGGGAGAGCTCGTCTTCGAACCGAAGAAGCCCACCACTCCCGAGGCCCCCACGAACGGAGGAGGAGGAGGAGGAGATGCTGATGACGGCCGCGCTACGGTCGCCAGCCCCGAGAGCGAGCCGGCCGCGGCAGAAGCACCGGCACCGGCACCGGCGCCGGCGCCGGTGAACGACGAAGAGGCGGAGGAGGCCGCCCGGTTCGCCCGCATCGCCGCGCGCGCGGAGGAGAGGGCGGCCGAGCGCGCCAAGGCTCGGGCCGCCGCCGCCGCCGCCGCAGCGTCTCCTTCCAGCGGAAACGCGCAGTTTGGCGGGGGTGGTGGTGGTGGTGGCAGTGGCACGGCGAGGGGCGTCGTGGCGGGGGGTATGGGGGCCCCGGAGCCCCCCCCGGGGAAGCTGGCCTTCAAGACCAAGAAGCAGCGCGAGCAGGAGGCGCTGCAGCGGCTGGAGGAGCAGCGCAAGTCGAGGCGGAGGGAGCAGGAGGCCGCGGCGGCGGAGCGGGGAACGTCTGAGCGGCAGCGGCAGTTGGAGGAGGACCGTCGGCGGCAGAAGGCCCGGGAGACCGAGCGCGAGGAGGCGCGGGCGCAGCGCGAGAAGGAGAAGGAGCGGGAGCTCCTGCGCGAGCAGTACCTGGGCAAGAAGAAGGTGAAGAAGAAGATCGTGAAGCCTTCCGAGAAGTTCAGCAAGATCTTCCAGTTCGACTGGGACGCGAGCGAGGACACCTCCCGGGACGCCAACCCGCTCTACAACGAGCGGGCCCAGCTCAACGCATCCTTCGGGCGCGGCTACCTCGCCGGGATCGACATGCGCGAGCAGCGCAAGGAGAGCGCCTTCCTGACGGCCCTGATGGAGAAGCGGCAGGAAGAACAGCGCCGAGCCGAGGCCGCCGACCACTCCCTGACGGCCCAGGACAAGGCGGACCGCGAGCGCGCCAGGGAGCAGCAGATGGCCGAGGTGGAGGCGTTCTCGCTGGCGGAGGCCGACGGCATGGGCGACGACCCCGTGCTCAAAGGGGCGCACTGGTCGGAGAAACCACTGGCGGAGATGGCGGAGAGGGACTGGAGGATCTTCCGGGAGGACTTCGACATTCGGGTCAAGGGCGGCAAGGCGCCGCTGCCGCTGCGGTTCTGGGAGGAGGGCCACCTGCCCTCGAGCGTCATGGAGGCCATCCGGGAGCTGGGCTACGAGAAGCCGAGCCCCATCCAGCGGCAGGCGATCCCGATCGGCATGGAGCGGAGGGACATCATCGGCATCGCCGAAACAGGGTCGGGTAAGACGGCGGCCTTCGGCATCCCCATGATCGCCTACATCCTGTCCCTGGAGGCCGGCATGCGCGACCGGGTGGCGGACCAGGGGCCTCTCGCTCTCATCATGGCACCCACTCGCGAGCTCGCAATCCAGGTAATTATTCCCGGGGCTAAGGGTGTACTCATCGCCGTGAATGCCGTAATCGTTAGGCAATTGACCTCGCGTCCCTACAGTACAACACCGGGACGGTTTTTCATTGGACCAGGGGGGGGGCGGGGGCGAGAGTCTGGGGAGGGTATGTAACACCGTTTGGGCAGATCCAACGGCAACGCACCAGCAGAGTGCGCTCGATATGGGTCGTGTTTTTCTGTGTTGTCCGGACGCCATCATGGCAGCTGGTGTTGGGACGTTGAGAGAGATATGTCGTACCAAACGGGAACGGCCAACGTCGACACTATATCGAAACATCAGCACAATTAATTTATGGATGATCAACGCGACAAAGAGGCACCGGGCGCAACAGTACCATGTACCATGAAGTGCAGCAACCCCTTCAATGTAACCATTTTCTCGCGTTGTTCCCCCCTCCCCTCCCACCAGATCGAGGAAGAGTGCAAGAAGTTCTGCAAGTTCGCGGGGCTCAACACCGTCTGCGTGGTCGGCGGGCAAGACATTGAGGCCCAGGCCTTCACCCTCCGGAAGGGGGTTGAGATCATCATCGGCACTCCCGGTCGGCTGAACGACTGCGTGGAGAAGCACTACCTGGTGCTGAACCAGTGTAACTACGTGGTGCTGGACGAGGCTGACCGGATGATTGACATGGGTTTCGAAGACCAGGTGTGTATGAGTGGTGCCATCTCGCTTGTTGGCCGTTGTGAGCTTTGTTGGAAAAAGGGGGGGTGTGGTTCGAAGGCAACCGTGTGTTTGTGGTGTAGTAGCACCATCTTGTTGATGTCGAGGCTGGTGGTGTTTTTTTGTTACTGGAAATGAGCGGCATGTTTCAGTCGGCATGGGTTTTCCCGATAATGAGGCTTTTGTAACACCAATAACATCAACAGCATCAACATCATCAACAACAGCAACAACAACAGCAACGACGACAAACAACAACAGCACCAACAACACACATCAACAACAGAAACAACAACAACAAACAACAATAACAACATATGTTACGTACGTACACCCGCAGGTGTTAGCAGTGCTGGAGGCCATGGGCGGCACCCTCAAGGCCGACGACGCGGAGTTGGCCTACAAGCAGGAGAAGAAGGCTAAGCAGGCCAGGAGCGCGGCAGACCTGGTGCGCGTGACGGCCATGTTCAGCGCCACCATGCCCGCGGCCGTAGAGAAGATGGCCAAGAAGTATCTGCGACACCCCGCGATCGTACAGGTGTGTATCTGTTCTGTTGTTGTTGTTGTTGTTGTCAACTTGTTGCTGTGAACGATTGTAAGGAAAGTGTGTTTCTGTCTTCATTGTTTGTCCAAGGAACATCGTCGTCGTTGGTGTTGCTGGTACGAAGCGTTGGAGCCGCCGTTTGTACCGTACGCGACGGAAGTCGTGCCAGCATTTTCCAATACGCTACGCATAAGAACAACGCCGGTACAATTGAAAACGTCGCAGCTCACATCCGTCCCGCCCGGTAGACGGGTTCAACGTTTCAACCGCCGACACAGACACCTCCCTGTTTTCTAAGCCTAAAACCCTAGGAAGAGGTTGTGTCCCTAGCAAAAGCACTAAGTCGACACCAGCGCCGAGATTCAGGTCTTCGTGTTCCCCAAGAAGAGTTGCCACTCGTTTACGAACCCCCTTCCCCGTTAAGGCATGCAAAACATGAGTACCCCCCCCCCCCCCGCCCCTTCCCCGACTCTCTGTTGGGCACCGGAGCAGATCGGGGACGAAGACACGGGTAAGAATAGGCGTATCGAGCAGAGGGTGTTGTGGATGACGGAGGCGCAGAAGAAGACCAAGGTCACGGAGCTCCTCCGCGGTCACGACAAGGAAGACAGGGTAAGTACGTGGGTAAGGCAGTGTTTGTACAGTTTTTTTTAGATTATCCTTCTTTTCTTTTTTTGATTCGTTGCGGTTCGCCGGGCTCTTCGATTCAAGAAAAACACGTCAGCTGTGTGAGCTGTCGGGTAGCTGGCAGCCAGCTGTGGGGGTTGGTCCTGCTCCCGGCTTTTATTTTCATCTCGTACGCATATCGCCCTTAGATTAGACTGCTGTGCTCTCATGAGCCCACTCCTCCGGAGGGATCACTTGTACGTTGGATAGAGTTCCGCTCTCCACACGGTACTCAGTTTTTTTGGTCATGTATTGAAACTTACCATTGTGTACTGCTTCCTGTATGCTTACCATGGTATGTGTGTGTGCAATTTTTGGACTGCTCTGTCATTGTTCTTGGTCGGCTACGATTCTCAACAATCAATCCCCCCCCCCCACGAACATGAGACGTGTTCTCACCTTCTCCTCCCCCCCCCCCCAAAGGGGTTTTCGGTGGGGGGGAACCCCAAACCCGGCGCCGGAAACTGGGCCATTTTTCAGGGTCTGGGTTTTGTCAAAACGAAAAAAAGGGGGGGAATGGTCGGGGGGGAGGTGGGGGAGGGGGGGTTCCCCCCCGGGGGCCCCCCCGGGGGGAAGAAAAAGGGAAGGATTTTTGTTTGTTTTTTGGGAAGGGGTTGGTGGTGTTGGGTGGGGGTTGTTCCCGGTGGTCCCGGTGGTCCCGGTGGTGGCGGTGGTGGTTTCTTGGAGGTTTCTTGGTTGGGGGTTGGTGGTCCCGGTGGCCTTCTTAATTTGGGGGTTGGTGGGGGGCGAAAAAATGGGCATCGGCATT